GGAAACAAAGCAAATCCCTTCGCACCTGGGGAGAAGACAGCGGATCTACCTGTGTAAAGCCCTTGTGCGGAAAAACCAAAAAGCTATACCCCGGTTGCAGTCATGAGTTGCTGCCAGTGTCTTTTCCGGACGGCAGTATTCTGAAGTTCATTGACAGCTCTTAAGGAGACCAATACATTTTTAACAGTTGATTCCAATCCCAAATACACATCCCAAGCTCGCACTTCTTTATCCAGAGTCTTCATATCCTAGGCAGAAAAGACGTCAAGAAGAAAAGGGGAGAATCAATATGTAAGGACAATGATACCTTTGAAAACTAATGTTTAATGTCCTGTGCGCCAGATTTCATAAGTCAGAGCTACCGTATGTCATGCTTAAAACTTTATTTTAGTAATAATCATCATATGCTGTCCAGTTAACTCTGACTTATGGTGACTTTTTTTTCAAGATTTCCCGGGTAGAGAATACTCAGAAGTGCTTTACCACTCCCTTATTTTGGACTGTGCAACTTGCCCTAAGGCCACACAGGCTGGTTATACCTCACGGGAGAAACAGTGGAGGAATTGAACTCTTTTGGCTCTACTCTACAGCCCCTAACCTAAACAACTGAGCTATCCAGCCAGCTCACTTTAAAACTCCATTTTAGTAGGTATTAAACAATGTAGATCCTTGCAACTGCCAGAGCTGTGAGCAGTTCTCCTTGAGTGTAAGCTCAGATCAGACTGAGAGATTTTAGTTGAAGAAAGGGGAGGTTTATTATTGCAGAACAAGTGGAAAGAAGGCTTCTGTGGACCAGGCCAAGACCATCTTTGTTATATGTACAGAACACTTGGACCATACTGAGGCTACATAGCATTTGGCCGTTACAGAAACTGATGCAATGCAAGTCCCTAAACTCAGATCCTGACATCATTATTCTGCACACAGACAAAGGCAATGCCACAGTAGTACAACCCGAATTGCATAAAAATGCCTCCTTGTAAGTGAAGGATTGTCACCTTTGCAAATCTTCGGAGCTCCACAGCCATTTGTTCAACATTTATCTGTTTCCATGGTGTTTTCATCCAGTCTTTAATGCTCATCTGAGGAAGGAAAATCCCACAACTCTTTATGTGAAATCTTAAGATTCAAAGAGAGTTTTCAGACTCTGTATAAATATGTATAATGTAGAAAGTCTACAAAATAGATTGCAAAATCTGAAACCTACTGAGGCTGAAATCTAATCTAAGAAACATGTTCTTCATTCTGAGCGTTCACTCATATTTCATGGCAGAAAACATTGTCCAGATTCACATTTCAAACACGTTACATTTCCAAACAATGCTGGGCTAAATGGACTCTAACTAAGTTTAAGAGCAAGCAAGAGAATATAACCCTAAGTAGAAGCATGCACGGAACTGCAAATGATGGATATGATGGGAGCCCCACCCCAAATCTATAGTGTTTCCACCACCGCTGGGGCTTCTGCTTGAAAAAATATGCAGCAACAATGGATCAGTTTGTATCATTGCCATGACTCTCTGGGGTTTCAGGAAAGATTCCTTCTTAGACCCTGGGGATTCTCCACTGTGCCCTGGTGGTCTCTCATGGAAGGATTGGCCAGGGCTGCCTCTGAAATTAGACAAGGCTGGGGATGTTCAGGGACAGTGTCACCACCGTAGAGCTTTTTATGCCCTGGGGAGGCCATTCGGGCACCATGCTTGAAAAACAACAAAAGTGTCTGCGTTCAGACTAGAAAATTTGCCCCTCTTCTTTCTCTCATCTTCGGTTTCCTGTCTAGTCACATGTTGTGGTCACGTGGCATATATCCTGTGATACTGGTTCATACATTTTTTAACCGTTCCACTTTTGGGGGGGTGAATTAGATGCTGTACGTTCATTTGCAACTGTCTAGTGGGACATATCCTCTTCCTTTTCTTGTGCCTTTCTTTGTCCCCCCCCCCCCCTCAAAATTGTGTGGTATATTGCTGTGTCAGCACAATGCCTTTGCTGACCACTTACTGATCTGGGCCATTTCTTCCCATTGCTTCGTGACCCTCTATGGAGAACCCACAGTGCCCTGCAGTGGCAGTTAAAAGACAGTAGGGGGACCGATGCTCTGTATTTGACAGAAGCATGCCAATGTGTCAATATTCCCATTTGAAAATTAAGTTTTTAAAAATTAAGGGAGTCGAACTACAGCAGGTGAGGGAGGTGGGACTGCATGTGGGACACATAGGAAATGAACTGGTTTTGGAGTACACACTCAGTAGGATGTCAGTTCTACTGCGCAGTGAAATGCAGAAAAAATAAAGTAGTAGCCTCCCAGCGGGCTGGATTCAGTGCGTTCAAAGAGAGTTTTCAGACTCTGTATAAATATGTATAATGTAGAAAGTCTACAAAATAGATTGCAAAATCTGAAACCTACTGAGGCTGAAATCTAATCTAAGAAACATGTTCTTCATTCTGAGCGTTCACTCATATTTCATGGCAGAAAACATTGTCCAGATTCACATTTCAAACACGTTACATTTCCAAACACGGAAAGTCTCTCAACATGTCCTCTCATCAAAACCTGGGGAAAGGAAGCTAATGATTTAATTATTTCCTAGTTGTCCTCTCTTCTCACCTCCCAATTCATTTCACTTAATTGTAGCCATGCTACACTTTGTTGGAAAGCAAATGCAAAACAACAACGACAACTGTCTAAGTGCCCTCGCACTTTGGTGTTGGAATGCAGCTTTTTTTTTTCGTTTAAAAGAAAGACTTGCTTGCCATTTCTAAGTGGTAAAAATATCTGGCCCAGAGAGGCTTTACTTGCCCTTAGGGCCTCTTTACATTAAGACAATAGTGCAGAATATGTGTTGGCATAAAATACACCAAGTTAAATCAACTCTTGAGTCACGTGCCATTTTAATCGCAGTTTGTGTTCTCTTGGAAGAAATATATAATCCAGAGTTTGTGAAGGGAAGTCCTCACCAGACGGTTGCTCTCTCTTCCCAACCTAAGACTGGAATTCAGAGAGGCAGACAGGTATGTATGTGTGAATACCCTGACACACGTTGCAAAATAAACGTGCAAACAAAACACATCCACACACGGAGCCAGGGAGAAGGAGGAGGCACCGGCTGAAACTGGCTGGCTGGAGCAGCAGAAGGATAGGTAGCCGCCAGTCCTCCATATGCTTGTGTGTACCTTGGTTTCTCCTCCACCTACCAGTCCCCTCCCTGGCAGACAACGAGCCTTCCTCCTACCCACCTCTCCTCCCTCCCTGTTGTGATGGCAGAAACAAAATAAAAAAGAATGGACAGAAGGCTAGGGGAAACACTCTTTTCTTCCCAAGCCTAGCAGCTGCTGTCTCCCCACGTGTCTGTGTGTCTGTTGCTCTTTCCTCCACCTACCTGTCCCCTCACTTGCGGTGGCTGGCAGACAACGAGCCTTCCTCCTACCCACCTCTCCTCCCTCCCTGTTGTGCGAGTCCAACACATGCACACAGAGAACAAGCAGGGCAACCTAGACACAGGGAGCAATTTCCCCGGACTGGGCAAGTCGATTCATAAAACACCAATATAACACCCGAGTTGCACAACCCCTGGTGGAGGACTTAAAAATAACAGGCTTCTGAACAGAAGAACATGAATCTGGAGCATGGCAGCGGCAACGGGATCCTGTGCGTGTTGTGTAGTCACATTTTAAAACAGCGATTTAAATGATGCCAACCCCAATTCAAATCCCAGTTCTTTTACCAACGTAATTGTCCCCTTAGCTGTTAAAATCTTGCCAATGGGCTTTGCTTGCTGTTCCTGATTGTGTGCTGGTGCAATAGTTTTTCTACATCAGTTCAAGCAAACACGTGCCTGAAATGATACAAACTGATCCGTTGTTGCTGCGTATTTTTTCAAGCAGAAGCCCCAGAGATGGTGGAAACACTACAGATTTGGGGTGGGGCTCCCATCATATCCATCATTTGCAGTTCCGTGCATGCTTCTACTTAGGGTTATATTCTCTTGCTTGCTCTTAAACTTAGTTAGAGTCCATTTAGCCCAGCATTGTTAATTCATGGCTAAATGGACTCTAACTAAGAATCGATCATGGCCTTGTGTCATCTGAACTCAAAAAAAAAAGTCAAAATTCACTAGGAGTAACTCAAAAACATTTTTGCCGCTGTGACTGCAGCCAGTGACTCCACTCCTGTTCCCTTTAAGTCATGTAGTCAATGGGAAAATGTGAATCAGTACACTGTAAAACCATAGCTTTTCCTGCATTTTTTTGCAGTGTAATCATACTTTGAGACCAATGATCTATCTTATGTATTTCCATCTTTTCACACAAAATAAAGAAGAATTTAAAGCTAGTTGAGCTGCAGGCAGATTAACGACAACAGCTATCTCCTTCTCTAACTTCGCTCTAAGGCTAAGCTTGATTCTTAGAGATCAAAGTCAGTCTTCCTGATTTCAGCGTACCAAACTGATTTAGAATGAACAGCCAAACTGTGGCTTCTCAAAGGGCTTTTGAATTCAAATGCTATGCCTCCCTCAGGCACAATAGTATCATTTACTTACTGATTTGAGCTAACCATGGATTGTCTCCAAGCAGAATCAGGAGCCACAATTTAATGTGATTCCCAATTTCTGGTTTGGTAATCAATTGGGCTTCACGACAGCCAAGAGGAATCCATGGCCCTCAGGATTCTTCTACATTACATGCAGGGGTACCCCAGCAATGCTCGAGGCACAGCAGTGAATGGCACCTCACACTCACAGCAGTCAAGGTGCACTGCACGCAAAGCCAGTGACATTATTAGGGGAACACAATCACCTCTTCCCTTATGTAGCTGCACAAATAAAATTATTAAAATTAGGTAACTCAATGTTTCCTACTCTTCCTGGTCACCAAAATCTACCACCTATTATCTAATGCTAAGCCGTGATTAGAAGCAGGAAATCCTGAACAGCAGAAATCACAGCAGGATTGGCCTGCTTTTTGTTGTTGTTGCTGCTCGTCAAGAAATAAACACAGGGTTGTTTGCTGGTTTGTCCCTTGACATGAAGGTCTGAAAAAAATCAATCCTTGGGATGCTAGAATGTTTTTTTTTTTTAAAAAAAAACTTATTAAGATATTTCTAATGAAGTGTTCCTTGCCTTTAATGTACAGTTTATCCCTCAGAGGCTGCCAAACAAAAAATCCATAGAAGCAGCCATTCACCAAACCTACCGTGGTTTTCTAACCCTAAATTGACTTCCTTTGAATGCAAGCACCAACCTCGAAGTCATGGAGATCTCTGTGTATTTGATAGAAAGGTCTGCACAGCACGGCTAAGTGATCTGCTGAATGGGCTTATCATGTTTTCCATAATATGTGGCCTTGTGTGTTTTTTTTAAAGGCTGCTGGTCATGGATATGCTGTGAGCGTGATGGGTTGAACAGACGTGCAGACCTTCACCTCTGCAGGACTTCCAAGTGGGTTAGAGTGGAGAAGGCTTGGGCTCCTTATGCATGTTCCCCTACTTGCCGTACTTTGAACCCAATGTGATTTTGGACTAAACTTCTGTATGGAGCTCTGGAGTGGGGTTTTGATGAGGTTCATATGAGGGTGATGCAGTTTCTCAACTGCTGGCTCGGGAAATAATGCAGAATAGACACATTATTCATCTGAGATTCTGGCACTGGCAATTTTGCTTCATTTCTTAATCCTATAATTTAAGCTACACAGGTACACAGGTAAGACATGTCATAACTCTCTCTCTCTCTCTCTCTCTCTCTCTCTCTCTCTTTCACACACACACACACACACACACACACAGAGAGAGAGAGAGAGAGAGAGAGTGATATTCAATACAGAGTGGATATTCACAAATGCCATCCATTCACTATGTAAACATCCATCGATTCATTCTGCCCAGATTGACTTTTCGAGAAAAAAAACCCTCTTCCAATGACAAAAATAACTTCTTACCTGGACAAAGACCACCATATCCCAGACAGACTTCAGCAAGATGGCATCGGTACGGCATTGTTTCAGCTGCTTATATTCTGGCACACTGACTTCAAAAAGATCTGCTGTTTCCTGCAGTTTTTTCATTTCTGCCTCCAGTTTTGAAATCTCTTTATGAGACTAGAAGGATACCATTTAGAAACATCTTACTAACTTAAAACAGAAATCAGGATTTTGTTAGCAAGGGTCAGAATGTGGATTTCTCAAGCAAAGTTGAAAAGGCAATGTTAGGGTAACCAGGCGAAAGAGACAAGGTTCCTGTAATTGTTGCTTGGAAGCGCAAATTTCAGCCACTGCAGATTTTACTGCAACCTTTACCTGCTGACATTTTCTCCTCTACTCAGTTGATACAGATACAAGAACCTTCACCTCTTTTTCATCCGGTTACTCTAGATGGTGAGTGATCATATTGCTAGCTATTAGTGGAAGATACTTAACCGCCCAAGTGAAGCGTACATATTGCCAAAAAGAAATCTGTTCAGGAAAATAATCTGAGCATTTTCATCATGTAATCATCCTTCTGCCAAACATGCTCTGGCCAAAAGATGTAAGACAAGAGAAGGGTGTTCTAAAAAAAAATGTGTAACCCTCCCAAGACAAGCCAGCAAGGTAAAGATACGGTTCAGAAGTATTTTGGAAAGTGCAGTAATAAAAATGGCACTCTGTGTGTGCTGATGAAGGTTTTTGTAATTATTTTCTGTTTTATTTTATTCAGAGTTGCTGTAACAAGACAGCAGAATATAACTGTGTGATAGCTTGCTTGCCCTTACAAAATCAGTTAGACATATCACTGGATAGCTTTGTTCAAAGACTGTTATAAAATGTGTCAGATTTGTTACACACAATGATCTCTCTGAAGTTCCATCTCTTCAAAACAAAGAAAGAGAGAAAACAGATTCATTTTGGTGGTGCTCCTTCATTGCCATCACACACAAAAAAAGGTTTCCATGCTTGGTCCCTAGAGAGTCATGTTTAATGCTAACCTCTGAAAACCCTAAACCATAATACACAAGGAAGGACATTTCACGGCCTACTTTGCAAAAGTTTTTCATCTTATTTCCCTGATCCAAGATAGTTGTGGGTATAAGTTCATAATATTTAGCTTCCAATTGTATATTCCATTGTGTAATTATCCCATAGATGTCATAGAAGGTGGAGACACAAGAGAGGGCCTCCTCTGTGGCTGCTCCCAGACTCCGGAACTCCCTCCCACAGGAGGCCAGACTGGCCCCATCTTTGCTGTCCTTCCACAAGCAGGTTGAAGACCTTTCCATTCAGACGGGATTTCCTTTATGGACTGTCTGTGAGGTTCCCCACCCACCCCAATTCAGTATTGTGCTTTATCACTTTGAATCTGGTTTTGGTGTTGATTTTGTTTACCATTTTTAGTGTGGTATCTGCTTGATTCCTTTTTAATATTCATATATGTACGGTTTCTAGCTTTTAAATAATATATTTTAATGCTATTAGCTGCCTTGAGTCCTTTTAAGAGGAAAGGCTGAGTCGAAATAAATTAAATAAATAAATAAATAAATAAATAAGTGTATGAATGAATGAATGAATGAATGAATGAATGAATGAAATTGCACATTGAAGTATGCAAGATACAGTTATGGCTCAGGTTTAAGTTTGCCCTTTTTCAAGAGGACCATGCTTCCCCCCCCCTTTTCCAGCAGCATAGAAAAGCCAGCGGTTGGTGTTTTCCCCACTACCTAAGAAAACCTCATCCCACAAAGCCTTTATAATATCAGGTTGCTGTAAATGGCATGGGAATAGGCAATAAATATATCAATAAGGCTAGTTGTGTCTAGATTGTTTTAAAACTGTGATAACTAGTCTGCCTGAAGTGCATCATTACCTTATCTATGCATATGTAAGGATTCTCAGCATCAAATCTGAAAAAGACTTCATTTTTAAATCTGCTTCTGAATTCTTGCTGTTTAACCTGAAAGATATAGCATGTACAGGTGTATATTGGAATTCAGGTTTCTGGAAAAGTTAAGCGAATGATCCATTGAGACTATACCATAACCTTTCCTTAGCTGCCATTCATTAAGTATGTTCCATCTCATGAACCCTGAATCATTCCCTTTTAAGTACTCATACAGTATTTCCCCTAATTTTGCTTAAAATTTTATTACATCCAGTCTGCACAACCCAGACACACAAACTCACATGCACTTAACACATTCCCAGTAGATAAGTATAAAACATTTAAAATCTAAATTCTGTTTGACAACAGTGGCACAGTGTAAGAATTAGAAGCAGATTAGACATAACTGAGGATAAAAAGGATGCAAGTGTCGTCCTCATTTTGGGTGAACTGGGCTTTAAATTATCAGATTCATCCAAAATATATTACAGCAAGAAACATTGAATTGTTATCTTTCGACAGCCTTTTCTAAGAGTTTACAATTTCTCAGCTCAGTGAAGCTTGCCACCAGCTTGTTATCAGAACAAAAAACGGAAAATCATTCGGTTCATAGCACAGAACTGATCTCACCTCAAAAAGTACACATTTTCTTCTGATAACAGACACTTCATTGGACTGTAGAGGAGCCACTTCATGCTTCACGGTGAAGGCAATCTTTTTAAGATTCTTCCACTTTTCAGGTAATTCCTAACAATGCACAGATATTGTTTGTTTGTTGGCACATCAACCCAGCTACCCTTCCACTCACAAAAGATCGTACACATGTCTTATTTTCATCTCTCTTTCCTCCCCCTTCCTCAGTTGATTTGTCCCTCTTATCATCTACCTCATTATCCTCTACGGGTCATGGATCCGTGGTAATTTATAAAATATCGTTTTTACTTTTAAAAATGTACCAGAGCTTAGAGGTAACTAGCTACAAATAACTGACTTCTCATAATTAATCCCTGTTCCCAATAATGAAAGTATTCCATTATGTTACAATTCTAACTTAACAAGTGATAAATGCTACCCCTCTTTTGTTTGTTTGTTTGTTTGTTTGTATGTATGTATGTATGCATGCATGCATGCATGCATTTTTCGCCCACCTTTCTCCTTGAAAAGGACCCAAGATGGCTTACAACTTTGCAAGACAATATTTAAAAGCTGAAAACAATGAGTATACAACTGTGGGACTTGGTGGTTGGAACTACAAGTTTCAAGTTAATTCTATAATGGCGAGGATGTGGTTCTGACCCCACTAAATGGTAAGGAAGGAATACCACAGGATTTAAGGGCTCCCTTATACTTTACCTCTTGTCAAGGCTGTGTCCCGTTGTGGTTGCTGAAGCACTAATGAGGCAGACAGGAGCAAAATCTGTTTTGTACCACAGACCAGAAATGTACGGTACTCACAGATTTGGGTTGTTTTTTTTAATGTTTGAGATATAGGAAGGTAGAAAGGAAAGCACAAATAAGGGAAACTAACAAATTGTTTTCAGGAATGGCAAAAATAATCATAACTAAGCTGTGGGCCTACAAGTGTAACTCATTCATTTTTCAAAGCAAACTTCCAAGTTGCATGGATACATGTTTCCTGTAGATCAAAGTCAAAATTCAACTCCATATTTCCACCGGAAGCATCTTTTTTACTTCATCATTCTATGGACCTGACGTTGCCAGAATTTGGGGGATTTTGAATGGTGTGTTTTCTGTTTAAAAGGTTCTTATCTTCAGTGTGATCTGTCTTATCTTGCACTGGAGTGAGCCTTCCGTTGGCACTGGAGATGCTTATTCTCCCTGGAGAAGGGACCAAACAGGACTTGGGATCACCCCAATTTGTCCCCTGTCCAATGACTGACACTCCTTTTCTAGCCCCCTTCCCTGTGGCTGTCATTCACCAGGCCATGACAACTTTCCTTTTTTTGGGGGGGGGGGCTCATTTGTTACACAGGTCTGTTGCCCTCTGTGGGTTGAAGCAGTGGGGCCTGCTTGGGCAAAGGCGTCTCTGTTATATCTCGCAGACCTTTTGGGAAACTCATTCATGCTATGCACAGTAAGGAGGTGAGGTGGAAAAAGCTTCACAAGGACAAGGTTTCTCCATCCCCTCTTTTAATATCATAAGCCAACTACCCTGTTTCACCGAAAATAAGACCTAACCTGAAAGTAAGCCCTAGAAGGATTTTTCAGGATGCTCGTAATATAAGCCCTACCCCAAAAATAAGCCCCAGTTAAGTGAAACCCCGCCCTCCACCACTGTGCAGCAACCAGAAGAAGATATGACTGTATTTGAATAAATGTAGATTGTTGCACATGAAAAAAATAAAACATCCCCGGAAAAAAAGCCCTATTGCATTTTTTGGAGCAAAAATTAATAGAAGCCCCTGTCTTATTTTCGGGAAAACATGGTAATGCACCACAGAGTTCTTACCTCAGATAACACTGCCCATCTGAGTGCAAACTAACCCTCCACAGCTACACAACAAGACAACTAGGACTGAATTGAACCGAAAAAAACCCACCCAGAAGCCCTAGCACTCTGCCAGAATAGAGCAGGAGAGGTGCATAAAGGAGCAGGATGGGGCGGGCTAAGTCAAACATTATTTGGATGGTATAATTTGATTCGAACCAAACTGTACGGATAGTGGTCCAAACAGCAAGTGATGTAGCTCTCTGGACAGGACCTAAAATAGGACAACTCTCTGATTCTAGACTGCCCAGAGCTGTCATGAGTCACCCACAGAAACATCTGTCAGAATAACCCTGCAGGTTGCAACTTAATAGCTTCAGTGGAGGCCAGGACATAATTAATTGGTAGAAGGAAGAATTTCCCTTCGTACAAGGAAGCTTTGTGGCATTTCTATGGGATGTCCATTCTATTGCAGTGCTATATCGTCCTCCTGTCTCATTCCATCCACCAGCCTTCAGAAGGAAAGAGGCTATAACAGGCACAGGGATGGGGAGGAGACTGGGTTACAGTATCTCCACTGCCTGAACTCCAGGTTAGATTTTCTTGTTTCAACCCAACGTCATTTAGGTGCAGATACACCTTGATTTCAGCAGGCATTTCCAGAATGCCAAGTAAGCTGGTTTTAATTTGATGTTGCTTGCTTGTTTTCACTGGCCCTGTACATTTTTATCACTCTGCTCAGCTCATAACATCCTGCTTCATCTTATATTGCATTCTTTATATTTTATACTTGACATTGTTTTTACAAGTGTTGTGAACCGCCCTGGGAGTTTTGTTAAAGTTAAAGGAGGAATAAAAATGTTTTAAATCAATGAATAAACACATTCTAAGGGATGTTTCTGATATCATTCTAGAGATACCAGAACAGGAATGTTTCTACAAATCAATAATGTTTCAGGGGAAGAAATCGTCGCTGGAATGCTTAATACGTGTAGCTGTTCCCGTCTACAGACCTGTTTTGAGATTAACTCCTCTCCAACTTTGAAATCTAAGCTATTGCTATTGATTTTGCTTTTGTTCTGGCATTTGCACCTAACGTGCTATAAAACGTTTACTTCTTCACTGAGATTTCCTTGAAGGAGATGTCTTTGGTTCTGCAAAGAATGAACATGATAGATCAGCGTAAATCAAAACTTTTCGATACGCCACTGTCAAATTGAGTCCTCGCTGTTGCCTACAAGGACCTCCGCATGTGTGTCCTTCACTAAAGCTGCCAAGTGGACCACCTTGCACATCCTCCGTGGCTTTCCGAGCAAACAAAGCGAATCATGCCTAGACTAGAATTTACAAACTAAGCAGAACAAGTAGGCTTCAAAGCTGCTTAATCAAGCTTTTACAATAATAGTGTGCTTTCAAAATTTAAATTTTAGAATGCATTTAAGAATATTACCAGGATCCATAGCTGTATTCTGGGCTTCACTTTCACTATGATTTTTATTTGTTCCTATCAAGTTTTTATATAATGATAAAGTAGGAGAGATTAAATGGCAGTGACAGTAGAGGCTTAAGATGTATAACACACTGAAGATCAAGAGTCCCGCATCTCACATGTCATGATGGCCAACCTATGCTTGGAAGCCCCTGAAACAACACATGAAAGCAGCAGAGCCACCCCCACAAACAATCTATAGCAACTAGTAATTGAGAGGCATATGGCTTCTGAACCGTGAGCAGCTTGTGGCCTGGAAGAAAGCAAACACCTCATTGCAAAATGCAGGGGGTATCCCCCATGTCCTGGTCACAAGACATCCCTGTTCTGAATCTGGAGGTAGCCAATTCCTCCAAATGTCACCCCCAGCTGTTCATCCAGACTGTCATTCTCTGCACTTCCCTCACCCACAACAACACAGTTGTAATCGCATCGCAGATTTCTATGTTCCGGAAAGCAAATGAAAGCAATATTTGAAACAGTGAAAAATAAAGGATACAGATGCTCAAGGCAGAACAAGAAGGAAGTGTACATTGTGTTATAAGACAGCTAGTTTGGACACACTCTGGGTCTGTCTTTCCCATCCTTGTACTCTCCAGATGTGTTACACTATGAATACTGTCATCACTCACCAATATCACCAATGGCTGAACTGTCTTTGCATGGTGTGAGCTGTAGTTCTCTGCAATCTAATCTGGACTACAAGGTTGTTGGAGTCCCCTTCTAGCTCTAAAACCCTACCATTCTATAGTTTCAAACAGTCGTAGGTTCAATGTATTCATGAAGGCTTTCACAGCCGGGATCTGATGGATGTTGTGGGTTTTTCGGGCTCTTTGGCCGTGTTCTGAAGGTTTTTCTTCCTAACGTTTCACCAGTCTCTGTGGCCGGCATCTTCAGAGTCTTCAGTCTTAGGTTCACTCTGAAACCAGGGCCATTTCACTAGGACATACTAAGCTACGATGCTTCCCCTAAATTGTACAGCTGAAAACTAGACTTTTATATGACGCAGAATTTGTTATTCACTTGCTTGGAAAATTTTAATATAAATAAGCAATCTACTGACAATGAATCTATAAATGAGGGCACAAAGACATTTCCATCTATAAATTGAACTTTAAAAGACAATATTTCCATAGTTTAAAAAAATGTTTTCCAAGGAAGCACTCAAAGTAAATGAGAATTTAGAACTGAAAAATAAGCCAATCAAGATGACAAGCTTCCAACTTTAATACCGCGCATAAAATATTTTCATTTCTTATGTGGGGAAATCACACAATGGAGGGAAAAGAAAACAAGAAAGGCACAACAGATTTATGCACATAACTAGGCACTTATGAAAATGTGGATTCAATGCTGCCATCATTTTACTGTGTATATAAGAACAACCTTTTAGAAGGCTGATGCCTGTTTACTCTTTGGTCTCTATGATTATTTTTCTTGAAAGAAAAAAAAAGGTCTCTTTCCTTTAAGAAAAATATTAAGGTGGTTTTTTTTCTGTGCAAAATTTTTAATAGAGTTTGGCAAAAGTTATTTTTCGTAGATAGCAGTTCTTCAGATCCTCCAACCATTCAAAATGGGGATCACGACTAAATGGACCAGTGCCTTTGAACCAGAGAATTCATCACCAGAGACCAAGGTTACTCTTTGCGCTGCTGTGCCTTATATGTGAAAGTCCTTTGCTGATCTGGATGGTAGGGTCCCTACAGTAGAAAAACCGAAGAGGGCTGCTCAGTGCCCTTTAACACCTGGCATCTATTTGGACAGCAAGACATAGGAATGGGTCACTGTCTTCGATACATTTACAAATACGAATATCCCATCTCTAGCGATCTTTCCCTTTTATGGTATCCTACCATAAGAATGTATGGCATCCTTATGTCCAAAGCAAGAGGTGAAGCATCTCCTCCAAAATAATAATAATAATAATAATAATAAATGCCTGCCATCAAGTCAGCTCTGATTTATGCCAATCCTTTTCAGGGTTTTCTTGGTAGAAAATATACAGAAGTGGAGGGGCAAGGTCTGTCCTCAACTCATGTCCTGCACTCATCCCAAAGTGCAGGACATGCAACGATGGACTCAAGTTACAGGAAACCAGATTTCAGTTGAATATTAGAAAAAAACTTCCTAACTGTTAGAGCAATACGACAGTGGAACCAGTTACCTCAAGAGGTGGTGAGTGCTCCAACACTGGAGGCATTCAAGATAAATTTAGACAACTACCTGGCAGATAACCGTTGATTTGTATTCTTGCCTTCAGGGGGTTGGACTCGATGGCCTTATAGGCCCTTCCCAACTTCACTATTCTGTGATTCTATGAAATATCCCACATACCTTGAAAACCAATTTAGTGTTGCTATGAATTGGAAGCAACTTTTCTCATGCTAAACAATTTATTTCTTTATCCAAATAAACTTTTCCTCTTTACTATTTTGAATTTAATAAACTTGGCTTGTTATTATCTTTTTACAAATATTTTTTATTTTTTCATGCCTTAGTTTTTCATGACTTAGTTCATTAAACTTTTGATCACAAGCCTCTATTAATTTTATCTACCTCCAAAATATTTCAGTTTTTTTTAAATGTACTATCTGGAGAATATTTTTATGCCTCCTATATAAAATTAAATATTGTCTGTACATGATGCATTTTCTTTGATGCAGTTCAGCTCCACTTTCATAATTGTTTCCTTAGAGTCTGTTGGGTGCAAGAGTAGTGTTTGTAAGGACCATATCAATGATTTAAGAGAAAAGTTCTCAAGCTGCACCATTGTTCTAACTGGTGTATAATTAGCCCCTACTATAGATCCAATCTGAGCATCTGTTATGGAGTCCTGTCACAATTTTGGAAGTCATATATATTTCAATCTGACATGAAGGCATTATATAACCCAATATATCTATGAAAAAGGAAGAACAATCTCATTCCACTGGATGACTTGCTCACCGTGAGTCAATAACATCAAACTCAAAAAATGTATGTTTCAGCAGTTGAGAGTTCAGGGCCAGTGCTGTCTGTGAAAACTTTTCATAAGTACAAATCACAATCTGTGCACATAATCTTTTAACATGGGTCCCCAGATTTCAAATCAACACAGATTTTTTTTTCTCTGCCAATAGGAAATTCTACTTTTTTCAAACTGGAACAATTTGAAAGGACTTTTTCCTATGTGATTCGTTGTTTCTTTCTGTAAAAGGGGTGTATGTTTCTGTGGGTGGTGTTGTGATGTTGTAGGAAGTTTGGACATGATATGTAGGGGCTGCAGGAACATCCACCCCAGGAAATGTGTCTCTCATGTGTCCCCAATTTTTTTCTAATAAATGAGTTAAGTTCCGAGTCACACTGCTTTAGCGCTAGATCACCTCCACAAAGAAAAAGAAAAGAGAAATGCTACAAAATTGAAACAACCCCAACAAAATACAAAAGACTACATACATTTCTACATACATTATGTGTATTTCTGCATGCATTATAAAGAACTTCGGAAAGCTTTTGCCTTTTCCCGTACACTGTGCAATTCTTTAAAAACCAGATGGCTTGGTAGTGAACTGTAAAAGGATTGGCATAAGAAGGAAGGAAGGAAGGAAGGAAGGAAGGAGGGAGGGAGGGAGGGAGGGAGGGAGGGAAGGAAGGAAGGAAGGAAGGAAGGAAGGAGAGCTATGGACTGAAATGCAGATCTCATTGTATCTGTGTGTGGACCACTGAGTTGAATCAGTCCACAGCCCTTGCGGATAACTAACTGCAAATTCAAATGAAATATAGGCTGTTTCAAATCAGCTTGCCAGTGTAGTTGCTGCCTCAGCTACTATGTGTTTCCATCATGTTATTAATATTCTTAGGTGTTGAAGCAGGTACTTACCATCATCCCTCTTGCTGATGTTATTATTATTAGCTAAAACATTCCCTGCTAGCCCTGGAAAGCTTGCCTCATTCTCTGAAGGGGAAATAAAATCTATCAGAACTAGATTAATCAAATACATGTTCTGTCTCAGGAAGATATTTCTCTGGTTTTGACTGTTTGGCCTTATGCAGAGTTGAGGAAGTAGCTCCAGGGCATGTACTACCAACCACTGGCTGAAATCCCGTTGACATTTCCACTGTACAACCCAGATATCATAGTTTTAATTTGATTTGACTGAAAACTTCCTGTACCCCCTGTCAGGTTCTCAGATCTCGGGAATCCCTTTTTATCTTGAAAAGCCTCTGGGAGTCTTCAGATTAACAGGGAAGCCTTTAATATTGGAAAACCACTGCCTGATCACCACTGGCAGTCCCAATCTGTCAGCAGATGGCTGCCAGTGATATTCCAATATTAAAGGTTCCCCTTCCCTATCCTGACGTTCCCAAGGACAAAAGGAGTCCAGGGAGCCGCAGACCCTGAAGAGTGGGATAGGAAGTTTTAAATTACATTCAATTCAATTACATTTAGTAAATATATTGATCTCCAGATGATGACATCATCCGGCTTATGTGATGTCATTTTAAATCAAAAGGATTTCAGCTGTTAAGTAATAAGACAGTAAATAAAACAATAAAAGAATGTTAATTTAAAGACCTCCTATTGATGACAAGAGTTTCTATTAACAATACAACTTAAAAATGGCTATCCAACATTATTATCAGTTTCAAAACGCGAAAAAAATGTGGTTGAATCACACTGCAGCTGAATTTATGTATTTTTAAATTATTTGTATTTTACCTCAAGTTGTTTATAAATCTGCTCTGGTAACTGTTGTCCATAACTTTGTAGCAATTCAGCTGTGGATTTTAAAGGTCTGAAAATGTCTCCAGTTGATTGCTGGTCACGGATGGCCATGAGATGTCCCATTATTTCAGCCAGAACTGTATAGTCTCCTTCTTTCACTTTCTTAGCTAGCCCCTTTTCAGTTTCATGGATAAATGTGGCTAACTCTGTAACACTAATCATTAGCACAGTGATCAGCAGACAATTGGCATAAAACTTGCATCTACTGTCAACTTTCATTGCAACTTAAGGAATTCTGCATCTTAAAAATTGGGCACTTTCATACTAGAAAACTAATGCTTGTAAAATCATTGTTTGAATTAGGAGGATGAAAAATTGGGCACTTTCATACTAGAAAACTTGTAAAATCATTGTTTAAATTAGGAGGACAAGGTATCATAGATATAAAAATCTTACACAGAGAGTTTACTGCATGTTATTTGATACAACTTTTCTCAGAAGTGAACTCAATGGAGCTCAGTGTCTTCAATACCATCTAGGCAATCTTCATGTGTTAAATGAACCATGCCATCAGTCCCTGCCATGGCTTCACATGGCTTTCTATTGCTTACCCTAGCCCCTTGGCCTCTCCACAGCGTGGATGCCTATGTGGGTGAGCCTGTGTTGTTCATTTACTTCCATCTGATTAGGCTTAAACACAAGCTGGAAGTCTGTGCAAGAAAAGTTTTAGCACATATGGAGGACCAAACATTTAGTCTTCCCAGCTATAGGCATCCACATTCATCCTGCAAAAATGCTAGAGGTGGGGCTGAAGAACACTAGAGATGAAGCCGAGGCCTGGGCCAGTAGCATAGCTGTGCTGTCCCTTTAATCTGAGATACACATGGAAGGGACTATTTCAATATCGAGCACATAATATTTCCTGCACAACATCAGCTGTAAGAGTAAGCAAACTCTATATTGGGATGAGCAAAGTGCAGCCCATAGGTCTTTGAGACACACACACATGGGATGAGCAAAGTGCAGCCCATAGGTCTGATTTGAGACACACACACCCATCCCAGGGCACCCCTGCTATTGCAGAAGAGACCATGGCCAACACCATCCATGGTGCTGAAATCATGGTGACTTCATCACTTCTTTAGCCTTCGTGTTGCCTTGAGAATGGAAAAAGCACTATGCCTTACAATCCCAAAAGATGATGTGTCACACTTTTACCCCACAGAGAGCTCCATGTTGACCATCAGATTTTGGTGTCAAGTCTTATGATGGTGTATTAGCTGTGGAAGGTGTTGCAGATCCAGTGGCTCCTACAAACTTAATACATGCCCAACTCCTGGGAGATGCCCACCTTTTTCTTACATACAATAATATTACATTTGTGCACAGGGGGAACTATGATTCTACCCAGTAACTCTATTGGGAGTTTGTTTTACTTCATAATCTATTTTAGCCAAACTTAATCTAGTTTAAGAAAATGAGCAGGGTTTGTTTTACTTCATAATCTATTTTAGCCAGTGTTTAAGAAAATGAGCAGGGTTTTTTTTTTTTAGTGCTGAAATAAAAAGTTCAATTTCAAAGGCACCAAAAGTAGGTTACCTTTGGGTGACATAGTTGAGTAGGTGCTCCTTAAACATCCAGCTCCACCTTTTAATCATATTCATCAGAGCTAACTTAAAAGGCTGAACGTCAACCTGGAACCAGCCATTAAACGTCTTCTGGTTTTCAACCTCGCTCACTTCTTTATGTAGCGTTTCATAAATGCTGATCTTGAGGAGTGAGGTAAGATCACAATGAAGAGCTTTTACTTGGAAAAACATTCTGAGGTAAACAGTATAACCGAAGAAAATGAACAGAAAGAGATCAAAAGATCTGAAAAATTGCTAAGTACGTACCTGTTGTTTAAAGTGATCTAACTGTGGGGAACATTTCTGAAGTTCATAGTCCGCATATAATTCTAGCTCTTCGGTGTGAAGAAATCGTCCATAGAGAAGGAACTGCTTCATAAATTTGGCTTTATCATCCATCCATAAGTGGCTGTATTTCTTAAAGTGGCTTTGATATTCCTGGGCATTAACGATGACTGAGTGCACTCTGCTCATGATTTCCTGGTGCATTTCTTCCAGGGCATCCATCTGGTCCACATCATGCTAAATGTAAAAATAAAACCATAGAACTGGGCCAATGGTTTAATATGCACTGTGAAAAGAAATTCAGATACAGTCTGCAAGCAAGACACCAGCTCAACTGCAAGTTTATAAACTATTCTGGGGGGGGGGGGAGAAAGCCAGCTGCAAGGCACAGAGATGGTTTAATTACGTTGTGAAGTAAGCACCATTAAGTACCAGAGGTCACGTGGTAGGTCCCGTTCCAAATTACAATCTCTCTGTGTGTGTTTTGGGAAAAAAATCTTTGGCAATTTTGGACATGACTATGCATGTAACATAAAATGCCACTGCCATGGCAAGCTTTTTATAAGTAACAATAATAAAGAACAAGGATCTAATGGAGGGGGAAATATGTCCTGTCTTTCTGCAGTAAATATGAGGCCAATGAGACTGTGGACACCTTACAATAAATACAAAAATGATTGATTATCCACTGAACATCAACTAATATTTATAAGCACCCTCCATATACTTTCTCTCATACGTATGTAAAAATATGAATGAGAAAGGAACAAAACCAGACCACGAGCAGCTTTTGTAATACATGAAGTCCAAATATACTCTAAGCCTCATTGCAGATAGGCAGAGAACTGAGATTTTGCCAGTGGCTCTTGATGCACCCTTTAACAGGCCTGCAGCAGAAATGGTGAAAGGAAGAAGATATCCTTGGGGAAATCCCATGCAGATAGGTGCCATCCATCCCAATTGGGAGACTCTGCCCACTCTTTGCCAGTTCTCCGCACCCGCTGCTGTTCCCTGTACCAGGTCCCCTGCCATCAAGGAAGTGTCTCCAGTCCTCAAAAGAAGATTGTCAGGGCAGCGGGAGAGGCACTGAGGAGGAGGGAGTGCGGTGTTCATAAAGATTTGTGGGGGAAAACGTAGGCAAAAAGGGGGTCATCCTGAGTCAGATGGAGAGATGAGGAAAGCTTATTTTCTTTTTTTACTACAGCTCCCAGTTTGCATGGCCATTGACACCTCTGGTCAGAATATTCTGCGTCCAGAGAGAGAGACTTTCCCATCTCTCAACAAGTGTTATGAAAATAGGTGCCTATTATGTTGCAAGTATTTGTCCAGGGAACAGTCCAGTTATAGACAACAGGCAGAGTCCTCAACCTTTTACAGCCATGAAGCACCCCGTTGTACCCATCCTGAGAAAGTCATGGTACGTTGCTTCCAGAATGAACCTGCTTATTTTGTTAGCTGAGGCTGACAATCCCACAATTTTCAGTTCCCTGGCAGTAAACATACGACAGGAATAAATGAAGAACTGGCAATTTGTGGGAAAGCCAGAGTGGTGTAGTAAATAGAGCGCTAGACCAGGACTCAGGAAATCTGGGTCAAATCCCTGCTTGACCATGGAAAGTCACTGGAGGTGGCAGCGGTAAACTATTCTTTCAACATGTCACATACTTCAAAAAGCCTGTTACGGTTGCTGTAAGTTGGAAGCAGCTTAAGGGCACATTCAGCAACACCAACAATTTGCTGTTTCTTCATGAGACTCATTTGTTGCTGGAGGCGGGTGAGTATCATGCCTATGGCAGAGCCAGTCATGTCAGGCAAGGTTATAACATTAAAAAAATGGGCTGCACCACATCAAGGTGGGAACATGTTTTGAAAGGAAGGAACTGGAACCTGTGATGAATGTAGAACAGACAGGACTTGGAGCATGTCAAATGTGCTACGGGAGTTCAATTGTTTTGACAATGGAATTCCCAGATACAGATGAGAGGCTGATGGCGTGATGGCGAAAGGCAACGAGATTACCAGAACAGGTTTTCAGGGAAGAAAAAGGCAGATTTCTACATTATTCACTTACAACCCAGCTGAGAAATATGGGGGCCCTCCGGGTCGTGTTGGTGTGTCGAACAAAAATTCACAGCATTGCTCACCATTGGCTGTAGTGGCCACAGATTCTGAGAGCTGCCGTCTGAAGCAACAATTGGAGAACCTACATTCCCCCTCCTGGTGATTAGGCCTGGGAAACAGCGATGGGGCTGCCATCAGGCTCTCTCTAATTATGTCAAGGAGACAGGCAATGCTGCGTTCAAGGTTTCAAAACAGGCTTCTGACAAGAAGGCATTTAGCCAAGCAATCCAGGTGGCCCCGTGCAGAATAGCAAAGGGAAACCTCGATTCCTTTCAACAGAGAAATGTAAGGAGGAGACATTAAAAGGACAAAATAAATGTATTTCTTCAGTGTTTGGGCTAAGGCAGGTCATCTGAAGTTTTAAGAGCTCCAGAAGTTCCTTGTTAAGTGATTTCAAAGAGTCCAGGATAGCACCAATTACATGATACAGAAGGCTCACTGGATTTTGGAGAGCAGCCCCATTTGACTCTAGTCTAACCTTCTCCTTCTGGCAGAAAGCAACAAGACTGAACGAGATACCATGTTTCCCCAAAATTAAGACAGGGTCTTCTATTAATTTTTGCTCTCAAAAACAACAACAACAACAACAACAAAACACAAAAAACCACGCATTAGGGCTTATTTTCAGGGGATGTTTTATGTTTTTCATGTACAACCATCTACATTTGTTCAAATACAGTCATATCATCTTCTTCTGGTTGCTGCACAATGGTGGAGGGTGGGGTTTCACTTCACTGGGGCTTATTTTGGGGGTAGAGCTTATATTACAAGCATCCTGAAAAATCCTTCTAGGGCTTATTTTCAAGTTAGGTCTTATTTTCGTGGAAACAGGGTACTAGCTTTACCTCTTTTCAGGTGTAAAATTTCCCAGATAGGTAACAACAGCATCATGCTGGCAGGGTCCCAAACCAAGCTGCTTACACAGGGACAGTCTTGGATGGCATTCTATGCTACCTATGTTGCTGTGAGTGACTAGAATTGGACGTGGATTTGGAAGATCCAAGTTCTAGTTCCCACTGAACCAAGAACAAAGTGCATGACCAGGGTCCATTCACCCTCTTGCTTAATGCATGACTTGCCCCCCCCCCAGAGTTGCTGTCAAGATAAAGGAGAGGGGAGACATATATGCCACCTTGAACTTATTGAAGGAAAGGCAGGATAGGCATAACATCCTTGAAACTGGGGACATGTGGACCTTAGTGCACTGCAGCTCCAGTGACATCTAGAGGCCTACATGTCTCCCCTCCCCCTGCCCAGTCTAATCAGGTCTTTAGGGACCAATAACTGGGACCTTGATTGTGTTGGTCAGGTGACTAAAGAGGCAAGCTAGCCATTACCTTTGACTCACTATTGAATCTCAGGCTTGGATTTCTCTGTTTCTCTCCAGTACCTGACTGGAGAATATTTCTTATTAAAACATAGCAGTGGAGAATCTTCAGACTCAGCTTAGGATCACCGATGAAGGGGAAAGGATCTGAACCTTCCTCCACAAAGGTGGTTTGGAGGGGAAAACAACTTTCGGTGGGAAAGCACAGAAATATAGGGGAAGCATTAAACCCTGGTGCCCTGACCCTCTGCCCCAGGCCAAAGATAAGCACCCTCCCAACTGTTTTTGTTAACAAAGAACAGTACGTAGGTGCTTTGTGTGAGTTGTGTTTATATTACCAGGATCCATAATAATGAGGGCTGGCTGTTTTTCTGACTGTCTCCCAAAATGGAGCTTATGCCCTCTTAAATTAGAACAGGGCTATGGGCAAGCTGGCTGAACCACAGCAGTTGTGATCATTATAACGTTTCATCACAGACAGATTAAATCAAGGAGAGTCTTACACAGCTATTTGGATGGATAAGAAAAGCCTCACCGAAATGGCGACTAAAAGCGTTTCAGGTTAAAAGAAAAGATAAGGGGCATATTTGTGATTATACCTGGTAAGTGTCACGGCCAAGATGCTTGGCGACTCTATTGATATGCGATGCAATCAGGTAGGCGCTTTGGATCAGACCCTCCACGATGTCAGAAAAATTGCCCTTGACTGTATGGTCCAAAGAAGGTTTAAAAGTCATTTCGTTGCCCTTCAGGATGAGTTGCACTTCAAACAAGGGGCTGGATTTTGAAGTCGCCTCCGTGTTTTCTGTCAGGTGCTGGAGAGAACACTTGATAGCTTTAAACAGTCCATCTGAAACCATGTGATCAACGTATTCGGTATAAGCTTTCCATTCATCAGAAAGAGGATCTGCCTGAAACAGGGCTTGATTGTCCTGGAGAGAGAAAAGCCACTTAGAAAATGAGCAGCAGCAGAGTTTGAAATTGCACTTCCTGGCACAGATTTTCCCCCCAATCTGGACTAATTAATCACTTGAAAAAGTAAAGGAAATTTCTCTTTGAAGAGGGAAAGCTTTCTCCACTGCTTATAATGTAATTGCCTGATTGTGCGAGTGAACGCTAAACAAGGCTCAAAGCGGAGCTGAACGCCAAGGCGAGAGGTCTGTGGTGGGCTGCAGGGGTGATGCAAGCACGACTTGTTAACGCATTGTCTCTTGTTCGCATGGAATCCAATGCATTGGGGCCAGCCCAAGACATTTCGCTTCCCAAGGGGTGTTCTCCTTTCCCAGCGTGATCCATGATCCCCAAGGTTCGCTATCATTATCCAGGGCAGAACACCTCACAAGCTCTTCTCCCATCCTTGGCAGGAAAGCCTCAATTATAATGAACCAAATAAAGAAGAATTGGCTGACTTCTAGAATCCATTGCCTGAAGCAGCTCCTTTCTCCTGCCTTTGGCCCCCAGCAGAGCTGGCCCCTGAAACAAATCCTTATTTCCTGCAGTCTGGAGAAGGCGGTCCTTGTGTTTCATTCAGAGGGGAACCAATACAAGATAACAGGATAACAGGCTAGATCAATGGTTCTCAACCATGGATCCCTAAATATTCCTGGACTACAACTCCCAGGAATCCTGGCCATCACAGCTAGTGACAAAGGCTTCTGGGAATTTTAGTCCAAGAACACCTGGAGACCCCAAGGCTGGAAACTACTGTGCTAGATGGTGGTGCAGAAGAGGGAGTGGAAACCTACTGAGCAAAATTTGAGAACATTATTAAAAACAATAATGTCTTTTTGCTGGTTAAAAAATTTCCAGTGGCGTGTTACTTTCCATTACCTACAATTGTGACTTAAAATTTTAGTAGCTTGTGTTGGGGGGCATTTCAACCCCTTCAGCTGGTCTGCCCTCCCTGAGTGCTACCTGCTGCCACAGAATTCCCTGCAGCAGTGGCAAATATGATTTCCTCTTTTAAAAAAAAAAAACAAAGATGCAAGCCAGGGGGCACTCACCCTTTGCTTTTTTGTGGCTAATAACCCTCCCAGGCATGGGTGTGCACAGACTGAGGCAAAGGGACACAGCACTTCCCCACTGGATCCTAACTTGATTTATTATCTTCATGTATGCAGACATATACGTGCACTGTGTTTTGGTGGTACCGCAGACACCACAACCATAGTAACTCATAGTGTGTGAATGATGCTAACCTACCACTGTGCAACTTCCTGTGGTACATTCTCACTCCAGGAAGAACCACGACCCTGGCTATTGATTACAAGGTGCAGGTTTCCCAGAGTTCTCTTACTTTTGGAGAAATGCTGTGTGTGTCCCATTGGCTTGCTTACATTCTGATGTTTAAAAGAAAGTCTGTTGAGGGGAAGATAGTTGGAAGTGGCGGCAGCCAACGTGGGTTCCTGCTGGGTTCAAGGGAGGGTAATTGGGTCTTGATCTGAAGAAGTGGCCAAATCAGCCCAATCCTGCTTAGTCAGTAGTGGCCCAAAATACTGCTTCCCCCAGTTTGGTCCAACGTGCTTGTTTTTTTCCCACTTTCTCAGCTAATGTCTCAGTCATGAGCAAGAGCTGCCCAACCTTTCTCTGCCCCGCCCTTTTTTTTTTCCAGAGTGTGAGGACAGCCCAGAGAGTGGGGCAGAGAAGCCTGAGCTCTCGCCGGGACTGGAAGATCCTTCGAGAGGGTGGGGAAAAAACAAGCAGGCTGGGCCTGGTGAGGGGCTGCCTGAGCCAGAAGAGGTGGGGACAGGGGACCAGCACCACCTGTGCTGCCATTTTTATGAACTGGGATGAACCAGGACAAACCTGTTTGTGCCCATCTCTGCTATAAAGTAGAAGAGAAAATATCCTCAAACTAATTCTAAGGGGGGAAAACAATAGTCAAATTGGGGGGGGGGAATGGATAACCAGAAAGGCTCCAGGAGCTAGATTTTTTCCAGAGCACTCCCTATGGCTACACTGACATAGACCTCTCTCCAAAGCTCCTCCATCATTGCTAAATCCTCCTGGCTCCCTCAGCATCCCTGACCCGTATGGGTCACAGTTAAATAAACTCATTGTTTCTATCAAAGCCTTTGGTTGGATATTACTCACTTAGCCCCTTGCTCCTGCCATGTGAAAACCCTCATCTAAATTCATTACTGTTATCCTGCTGAAAGGTCAATCAGACTTTGGCATCTCTCCTTTGCAAGAGTTCTCATTACTCCCAGGAGAAAAAATATATGAGAATTATTTGAAGTCTATAGTCACCTGAACTAACTGATGGATCGTCTTCCCGATCTCTTGAACGCTCTCATATTGCTGGCATATTGTTTCACTGTTGTCAAAGCACGGCATCAAAGAAGTGGTGGTGGCTTTTTGTGCTAGAAAAGAAGTCTCACTCAGTCTGCGCAGAAGGGCCTGGATCAGGTCCACATTATCTTTGGCTTTCTTCAGTCTGCCGCCTACCCTTTGAACAAGCTCCTTGGTCTGCTCAATATAGGTCCACAGGTCTTCGTTTTGCCAGCTCAGTGTGTCAAAAGCAGGCTTCAGTTGTTGATCAATTCTCCAAAGCTCATGAGCGATGAGTTGTGCTTCGTTGGGTAGGATTGTTTTCCTTAATTGGTTATACTGCTCGGCAATTGCATGTAAATTACCAAGATACTGAGGAGAGGAGGAAAAGGAAGAACAGCAACAAAAGTGGGCTAATTTAAAGAAATTCACTGATGGACATAGAAGTATATACCGCAACGGTAGGCAACTCCAGATGGGTAACATCTGCATGGCCACACCTTGGAGAGCCACAGCCATCTCCACACCCTCTACTTCCCTCTCTTTCAAAAAAAAATGTCTTGCTTACAATTTTTTTAAAATTGAAAAGCCATGTTGCACTCTGCAGTAGCCAAAGTTATCTTGAATTTGTTAGAAAACATGGGGAGGTCGGGGGTGGTGGCGGCTAGGAGTGTGAGGACACCCTGAAGACTTAGCAGAATTGACCCTCCCACAGCCCTAGAGGGCAGAAGGAGACTCTCTCTCTCCTTTTTTTTGAGCCATTTCATCCCAAAAACATTAGAAACCTTCAGAGGGTGGTGTTGGTGTTTGTAGGACTGCTGGATTAGCTCAGGGATGCTGGGAGCCATATTTGCTGCTCTAGAGGCCGTATGTGGCCAACAGGCCAAATGTCGCTATCCTCCTAGACTAGATAAATCATTATGAGCCACTCTCTGCACTCAGATGTACACCATAGGGCTGCTACTGGATTCCAAAGAAGTCCAGAACTCAACAGTAGGCTGAGTGGTGTGGCTGGTCCAAGCCTTTCACCCAGAGAGAGAAAGAGTCATAGAGAGACAGGTTCACCAATTTTCATAGTAGGCCTTTCTGCACATGTAACTGTTTCTGGCCATCCTAAACCTGCCTAGGTATTATTAAAAAAAAAGATATGTGATAATAATATCATAGATGTGTCCTGTGTTGGCTTGTAAGAGGCAGATCAGGTGTCTTGAACTCTTGTTTGTTTGTTTTTCTGTTTCATTTCTATGCTACTTTTCTCCTGTTGAAGGAACCCAAAATGACTTGTACTCTCTTCTACACACTAATACCTAGTGGGACATGTAGTAAAGCAAAACAGTCTGCAAATTCTTAATTCCTTGGAACCAGAATGCAAGAAGAATACTGCATTTAGCACAGAAGCCATCTACACCTGAGCATATCTGGGAAATTGCATATACAGAAGTAAGTATTAGTCACAGATATGGGTATGTTGGCTTGCTGACCAAGCAGTTGAAAACAGAGTGGAGCAATGGATCTTCTTTCTTTCTTTCCACAGGCTAGCTGCTCCTTCTTCTGCTCCTCCATTTTGTCATTAATCATTGACTTAGTGAGGAACACTATGCAGACAGTGACCACAGAAAGAAGAAGGAACAGCAGTAGGGCCTGAGGCTCAAGAGGTCCTGGTCTGGGCCTCATCAAGTGCCTGACAGTGCCAGTCTTGACCTTTGTATCTCTGTTGCCCACTCCCATACTATTTCCTTTTCGCTGCCTTCAAGACTAAACAGTAGTTCGAGCATTGCAGGAAGCTGCCATTCTGAGCACAACTGAACATGCAATGAGCATTGGCTTTCTAAAGAATCCCTGGTCCATTGAGGCCTCTATCTCTTCCTTTTTTTGCAGCCGATTCGTTTAAGAAACCTGAGAACGGGAGAAAGAAGAGTATGGAAGCTTCCCATCCCCCATGTTTCCCCCACCCTCAAATCACTTCAGAGAGGAGGAAAGTGTGTGGCGACCCTAAACATAGTGGAAGTAGTTGGTCCTCCCGCCTCTTCTGTAATTTGAACACTGCTATTTGGCTGTCAATAGGAGTGCAAACTAATTCTACAGAGAGGAGATGAAGGCCCTTTGTATTCAAAGGAAAACATCTGGGTGCAGTAAGACTGAAATACAAGATTAACTACAAACTCCAATGTAACGACCATCCAGTTGACAAAATAATTAGGAAAAAATAGTTGCACACTCTTTGCTTTTGGTTTAGGATAGTTGAAGACTCAAACAGATTACTGCAGTTATGTCAATTTTCTTCTATTTCTTTATATTCCCACACATCTTTCACACAGAATCGCTTCTATTTACCTTGTAAAGAGTTTCTCTCTTGGAATACAATTGCACAGCAACCTCCGGTATCGCATGATGTTTTAAAGCCTCAAGGTATTTCACTTCCCGAAGGACGGCAGAGAGCTGCAGCGGAAGATGTAAATGATTTTGTTATGCTACAAGAAGCTACTTCAAAACTTCTTCACCTTGCATACACTCATTCAGACTTCCTTTTGGCAAAATCCGTTCGGCAAAAAGCATTCAGACACTTTACAAATGCCTCCAGAGGCTCTTCAATGCCGTTTGTTAACCTGGTATGCTTTAATTATAGATTACAGCTCCTATGAAGCAACAGCCAGCCTCAGCCATGCTCCTCTGGGGTGATGGAAGATATTGTCCAATGCATCTGGAAGGTGGTAAGCAGGGTGGCCTGCTCAAGTTTGACAATTGTCCTCATATTTTAGTTTGGATTGTTAAATCACTTTTTTTAAAAAAAATGGGAACTATCCTTTGCTGCATGGGTGCAGTACCCACACATAATAGGGAGACCTTATAAATTCTTAGATTACATTCCTTTACCGAGCAGGGGACAGGCTCCACAGACAGCTGGGACATTTGTATATTTGGGGCAAAATCAATATTTTCAACTGTACATATCTAATATACCTCTTCCAAACCGGTAAGCAAAGCAATGCACACCTGCATCGTTTTCACTCTCTTAAATTTTTGCAGTGCAGTTCTCCGGCTGAAAAATGCATATTCAGGGGAAGGGATGTTTGTGTTGAAATGTACATGAGAGAGAAAATCATTGTATAATGCATTGTATACAGGGAAATTGTATAAGGAGAAATTGCTTGCAAAAAAAATGAATGGATTGTATTGTCCAAATATTAGAAAAGGCACACAAAATGTTTGTGAATTTTCTGCAAATTGTCTTGTTTTGTTTTGTCTTAACTGTGTCTTGGTTTGGTTTGGTTTGGTTCCGTTTAAAGGACTTACCAAACTTTGCAAATTTCTTTAGGTGTAGAATGCAAAAATATTGTGGTGGAGGGTGGTGGTTTCAACCATTCACAGGCAAGGGAAATCAAAACTAACAGGCTACCTCATTCATAAAAACTGGCCTTGTTTGGAACTAAGCTGGAGGACAGAATGTCTGTGGATAGGCAGGAACTGTTGAGATTTAGATCTCAAAATGTATTAAATATAACTAACTAATTAATTAATTAATTAATTTTCATTGTAAGTATATACACAGTATACCCATACAATGAAATTCACACACACACAGATGTTGTATAGTATAGTGAAAGTAAAAATTTACCTGAATCATGTACTGAGTGTATTCAGGTGTGGGTAGCAAGGTTAAGACTTGATGTTGTGCAGCTGTTGTACAAGATGTAATCTTATGTAGGTAGAAAATGAAGTAATGTATTTTTGGAGTGGTCCCAAAAATGTATATAAGTCATGTGTAAAGGGGACATTTTATCTGCTGCAAGTCAGATCACTTTTTTCTATCTTATGTACTGTACCATGCCATGCTATGCTGCCAAATGAATGTCTCTGTATATATGTTAATAGACTAAGTTAGTATTTTATTCTCTCAGTGTTATAGTGTCTTTGCAACCTGATATCTCCTAACTTTGCTTATGTCCTGAAAATACATATTTAACCCAAATTCTCAACAGGAACCTAACATGGTGTAGTCCTTAACAGGTGCTGCTGGCCAGGTAAACCTACCAGGTATGGCTAGGAAAGAATCTGGCCTGGAACACCATTAACAGTCAGACTGGGCAATACTGAGCTTTCATGGACCAATGGTTTCATTCCATATAACACAGCTTTCTGTCTTCTCATGTCTGGATGGCGCTTGATCCAGAGCAAACAAACATGGAGTAGGAAGAGAATATACCTCATAAGAAAATACAAATTAAGCCAATCTTGCAGGAAACTTTGGCATTCTTGCTAAAAATCCGAAAAAAGTCTCAGCCTTCTGTGAGGGCCAAATCCACCTAGCAATGCATTGTATCACCCTGAATGTGGCCTATACCTTCAAGCAATTAACAGCTTGATAGGCCCATTTCTGTGTTGACAAGCCATCATCACACTGTCTATTGTCTCTATCCTCCTCCTCCTGACATTTATAGCTGCTTGTCCAAAGAAAGGTACTCTTCCAACCAATATTTACTACTGGATCCTGTTGAAGAGAGTTCTGAGACATGAGTACAAATAGTTCTGAGGTGCTCCAGAGTGAAACTAATCACCATCACCCCCTGAAGCCTTTCATTTTGTATCTGTTCTGGGAAGTCCTTCATGATGGACACTTCTTTAAATGATCATTGTAAAAGTGGATTAAGTTGTGTACCTTTTCATTGAAGTTAACTTCAAGTGATCCCGTCTTGTTGTGCCTGAAGATTCGTTGACTGAGATGTGCTTCACAGTGGAGGTCTAGATCTTGTGCCCATGAGGTATATATTTCCTCATCATGTTTATCCAATAAAGACAACATTTTCTCACATTTTTGGAAGACAAAATTAGTTTCCTCTGTTTGCAAAATCCTAGAAAGACAGCAAGTTTTCCCCCCTTCAATGTCATTTCTAAGTACATCGCAGAAGGTGCTTTGGGAAGTGGTTTAAGCCCTATTGTATAATTTTTATTGCAATACTTACAGGTGATTGATGTGCCTAAAATGTGTTGTGTGCTTCAGCAGTCTCTCTCGTAACTCCTGAGACCATTTCAAATTGCCTGCAGTCACTGGCATGTTTTTATGAAGTGCATTTCCTCCATCCCTTAACTTAAATAAACAGAAACTGTTATGATGATGGACTGTCAATACATCAGAGTAAAACCTGCAATAAAAACTCAACAATCCTTCTGTGGGAAGTGAACAGAAAAGTTCCCCACTGAAAACAGATGAAGGATTCCAAATCTAAGTATACTTACTTGGAATTAAGAATCCCATTAAAATCACTGAGACTTACTTGCAATATAAAGCTTACTCGTGTTAAGAAATTAGGGCACAGTTCCCTGAGAGACGGAGAGTAAACTGACCACGATGAGATTCGTGTTTCAGTAGAGGTATAGAGGACTGCTACTTAGTCCATTAAACATCATTGTCTGTTGATTGGTTATTAAAGCAAAGTGTGCTGCTTATATACTGCCCTATAATGCTTAAAGCTCTCTCTGGGCAGTTTACAATTTAATTTTACACATCTAAGTATTTATTTGGAATTTTTTAAAAAATCCAACTTTACTTAGGAGCTGAAAATTTTGGAGCTGAATTTTTTTAAAAAAAGTTTTCACAGCTTTTTTTTAACAGATCCTTACCATTTCTTCATTTTAACTCAGCACCCACTGCCATCTGTCTTTGCAAAGATCTTTCCCAGTTAATCTCCATGGCCATGTTGCTTCCAAATGTCACAATAGGAAACCTTGCCCAGTACATTTTTAAGGGAATATGTCTGTCCCTCGGTAGGAGCCAAGATTGCACCCCCTTCCCCCAGCAATTTACCTAGAAATGTGTTCTATTTTGGCATTTTAACCCACCTCAGAGAAGTTGGGTGTGTGTGTGACAAAGCCCCACAGAGTGATGGGAACAACAGGTGCAAACTGTTCCTGACAGCAAAAAAAAAAGCAGTTGAGAAACTGGGTGTGGAAGTCCAATAATGAGGTGTTCCCAGCAAATTTTACAAAATTAAGTCTTCCACTGAAGAAAGTTTGAAACATTTCTGCAATTCCTAAATAGGGCAGAAAGTGCATCCCTATGGATGCAGCCAAAAAATGTGGGGGTGCCCTAGATAAAAACAAGCAGGCAGTTAGGGTGTCTAGCTGTCTTGCAGGGCACTTAGCCTTGTTTGTATGGCCACTGCTCAATCTCTTTCTATGCCAATTCTGGCCGCACAGAGGAGACCATGGTTCTGTCAAAGGTTTCAAAGTGGAGTCTGTGGAGGCTGTAGGAGGACTGGCTTTTGGCTTTCTCTTGGCACAACAGTTTCTGGTGGAGGGGGGAGTCTTCTAGAGGCATGCTTGTGGGGAAATGTTCTTTTCCTGTTTGCCATTTTCTGGGTTCTCAAACTCATAACCAGATTATGGGGAGTCTGGCCCTGGCCAGGGAGAACTAGTCGTTAAAATAAATGGGGAAAAAATTAACTCCTAAAATCCAGGTAAGGGACGGGTGGGGTAATTTCTGCCCTTTAAAAGGGGTTATGTGGGGAGGGGGGACCATTTGATAATCTCTGGTGGGGTACTAACTTTGTGGAGGAGGAGAGCAAGAGTCACTCTTCATCATTTCATTGTTTGTTTTCGTTTTGAAAACATTGGCTGAAATCCTGTGGCTCAGCATAGTTAAGTCACAACGAGAGTGACCTCATTGAATCAGTAGGGAGCTGGTGTGTTAACTCCTCTGCATGTGTTGCTTACTCAGTGGGCCTACTCTCATTGTGACTTGCTAAGTAACAGAATGTCAGCCTCAGCCCAGACGTCTGTTGCCTAAAATGTGGAGCGTGTAAGTGTCCCCTTGTCCCACTCCGCTAGACTGCTTGCTGCGTGACCATTTGGGCCCCAGTTGGGAGACTGGTCATGCAACAGGGAACTTGCCAAAGTGAAGAGGAACTTTTTCTGTTCCCTGTTTAGGCAGCAGGATCGTAGCCACTATGGTTTTCCTGATCTGTTCCAAGCCGTTGGTAATCTCACTTTTCTTCCTGCAGTGCCCTTTGGATGATGTTGCAGTTGTCCCGAAAGGGGAAAGCCCCCAAACAAACAAGAATGTGCACCAAGGGAATGCCTCCTGTGGATGAGATTGTTTGGGATGAGAGTGGGAGGTCATTTCCTCACAGTCTTAACAAAACAAAACAAAGAAGCCACCACAAAACCCACAGTAATTATTGGTAAAGAATTCTGTAACGGTCTTCTGACACAGTACCCACCAGATGAGAATGTCAGAGGCTGGGAAGCCATGTAAGAAAAACAAACTTTTACTTTGTTTCTGTTGTTGTTGTTGTTTAGTTGTTTAGTCATTAAGTCGTGTCCGACTCTTTGTGACCCCATGGACCAGAGCACGCCAGGCCCTCCTGTCTTCCACTGCCTCCCGGAGTTGTGTCAAATTCATCTTGGTTGCTTCGATGACCCTGTCCAACCATCTCATCCTCTGTCGTCCCCTTCTCCTCCTGCCTTCACACTTTCCCAACATCAGGGGCTTTTCTAGGGAGTCTTCTCTTCTCATGAGAAGGCCAAAGTATTGGAGCCTCAGCTTCAGGATCTGTCCTTCCAATGAGCACTCAAGGTGGATTTCCTTTAGAATTGATAGGTTTGTTCTCTTTGCAGTCCAGGGGACTCTCGAGAGTCTCCTCCAGCATCACAATTCAAAAGCATCAATTCTTCAGCGGTCAGCTTTCTTTATGGTCCAGCTCTCACTTCCATACATCACTACAGGGAAAACCATAGCTTTGCCTATGCAGACTTTTGTTGGCAAGGTGATGTTTCTGCTTTTTAAGATGCTGTTGGGATTTGTCACCGCTTTCCTCCCAAAAAGCAGACATCTTTTTATTTCATGGCTGTTGTCACCATCTGCAGTGATCATGGAGCCCAAGAAAGTGAAATCTGTTACTGCCTCCATCTCTTCCCCTTCTATTTGCCAGGAGGTGATGGGACCAGTGGCCATGATCTTAGTTTTTTTTAATGTAGAGCTTCAGACTGTTTTTTTGCAGTTTTTGTAGTTCAGATCAAAACAGAAAGCAGTGATCATCTTGATGGAACACAACAATTCACCAAGGAGAAAATAACATTAATGTCTTCGTAAATAACGTGCAATAATAAATTAGAATGCCAGTGGCTGTTACCTACTTTTTCCGTTTGATTGTCAAAGATTTGCTTGCAGCAGGTAATTTCCTCATCAAACATTGAAAGAAGAACAGCAACGTTTGGGTAAAAATGAGAATATATGACAGGCCTTTCCAGGAGTTTTCCAAATATCTGTAAAATCTTTAAAGAAATTGGAGTTTTTGTCAGTTTTCATCAGACTTCTAAAAGGTTCAGTTTTAGGTTCTTTGAGTTTAAAAAGTGAAGGGTAGAAGAATTTAATTATCTATATTGCATTTTTCGTTATGGCTGAATGTTATTTATGCATTAATCTTTTTTGAGTCTTTATTGAAAGAATATAGAAACAACAACAAAACAATAGTACAGATCTTTCACTAGAAACGTATAAACTGATATATTACCTTCAAATAGTTTTATGGAATTTATGTGGAATCATACAGCTGCATTCATAGTTACATTCCTACATAATCCATGTAGGAAAGCAGAGATTTTCACAAGAAATCAGTGACTGAAATAGAAACCTATGCTCTTATTTGAAAGCAAAATCTGTGCATGCAGCTATAGATACAGTACATGCATGCACATATACTCAAAGGAGATGCTTGTGCTCATTCTCATTCATTCATTTCAATGAGTCTACTCTAAGTCTACTGAAGTCTGAATCTATTCTTCTTTATAAAAAAAGTTGCTTTCTGGATTGTCCACACAACCATGGACACTAATTCAGGACACAACAAAAGTGTTGGGAATGTGAGAATATTATTGAGAGCATTATATATTTATTATATATATATTACTCTTGAAAGATTGGCTTGTAGCAGGGTTTCATCTGCTTTAAAGGCTAAACCATGGAGACAGAGTTGTGGGAAGTATGGATAGCTCTCCAGTCTTTTTCAAACTATAGCAAATCTGCACCCATCTATATTTTCAGGTAGGAGCAAATACCAACCTGCGTCTGCAAGCATTTGGCAGAGTGTAGCAGTTATGTTGTACAGGAGATATTAGAAAGGTGGTGCATGGTATTGATGGATAGTCCTGTGTGCCACACAGCTTAGAATCATAGAGTTGGAAGGGGTCTATAACACCATTGTGTCCAATCCCCTGCTTAATGCAGGGATCCAGATCAAAGCAAATCTACTGCCTCTTGAATACCTCCAGTGTTGGATCGCTCACCACCTTGAGGTCATTGGTTCCATTGCCATACTGCTCTAACAGTTAGGAAGTTTTTCCTGATATTCAACCGAAATCTGGCTTCCTGTAAGCTGAGCCCATTGTTGCATGCCCTGCACTCTGGGATGACCCAGAGCAGATCCTGCCCCTCCCCTATATGACTATCATTCAAGTATTTGAAAAGTACTATCATATCTCTATAGCTTGCCAAAAGGCCTCTGAGCTGGACTCCTCCATCTGAAGTGGTGGAAGATGCTTTCCTATTATATACATTGGAAAAAGGTATTCACTATTGGTACATTTTGCTTTTGGTCATGGAATAGAAGTGGCCATGACCTTGTTCTTTGTCTCGGGCAGCAAAATACTTTGTCCAGCCCTTGTATAGGGCTCCTGAATGATTTTTACTGGGAACATGTCATGGGGGGGAAGAGCAGTGGAAGCTGGTCCATCAGTGCCAAACCTCCTTCTTAGGTAAACCATACCTGTGCCACTCCAGCCTGTGCCCACTCCTGCTGCGTGTGTATGTGTGCTAATGCTTGTTTCCTAACCTACCTGTACACATGCATGTGCATGTGTAAAAACATTTGTCTCCTTTGTGTATACAATATAGCAAAAGGAACACCTTCTGTTCTGCTAACCAAAATGAGTGCAAATAGCAAGGCAAATGCTATTTATACGTAGGCAAATAGCATTTGGAGCACTTAACATCCCCACCACTGGGGGATGTTAAGTGCTCCAAATGTTATTTACCTACGTATAAACCTGCCAACCTAGCAGTTCGAAAGCATGTAAAAATGCAAGTGGATAAATAGGTACCACCACGGTGGGAAGGTAATGGCGTTCTGTGTCTAGTCGCGCTGGCCACGTGACCATGGAAACTGTCTTCGGACAAAACGCTGGCTCTACAGCTTGGAAACAGGGATCAGCACTGCGCCCTAGAGCCGGACACAACTGGACAATTTGTCAAGGGGAACCTCTACCTTTTAAAATCTTAATAAAACTGGAGAGGTACTCCTGCATTGTGCTCCTGACTCGTGGCTAGTTTGGGCTGAGAAGGATAAAGAATCTGGATGTTGATAAAGGTATGCTGCACTGATAATCTACTGCTCTTGAATATGACATGTCCGCATACATAGGGATAGAATATTTGTGGAGATGTGGTGAAAACTCTTTTCCATGCGATGAGGAAATGCAGCCGTCCAAAATAAAATGCGGCTGGCTGTCTAGTGGTCAAACTCAACAAATGGAACCCAAAAGTTTAGAGAAGTGATTTTATATCATTTTCCTCAATAGCATGGTTCCTTTATTTGAATACGAACAGCAGTAGCTTCTCCTGGTGGTTGTGGTTAAATATCCCATAAAAGCTAACTCACTCCCTACTATTGCGAACTCTCTACACTCTCATGCTGACAGACCAAATTACAGCATTTTCTTATATTGCATCTTTGCTGTGTGTTTTATTTATCTCTGTTGTGTCTTCCCATTTTTGGCATCAATTCAAGCCCTTTACCTGCATTTCCCCTGCTGTTTGTCCTTCTGTTGTGTGCCTTTCACACTCTGCTTTACTAGGCATTTTATCATTAGTATTAATATTATTAGTCATTTGCAGGTTTTTTTTCATTTGCTACAAATTTAGCAAACTGGTTCCATCGACAATTATGCTGTATAACACACCTATTATGCTAGTACTTTACTTACCCCTAAACTATACATGACACATACCCTACACCCCCAAAAAATAATACTTTGATTCATCTGAAATGCACACCTTTAGCTCTGACAATCTTGCTATTATTGTGTCTTCGTAGCAAAATTAATGAATCAAATGTTGGACTTCTTCGCAGAAATCCTGTTTGCAGAACTACACCGCTTAAAACTGATTGTGTCATCAGCCATGGTGATTTTGGACAAATGAAACAATGTCCAGTTCCTTCTCCCCCCCACCCCCCAAAAAAGGTCCCCATGGTGATTTCTGGAATTAAAGGGGTCGCCCTTGTCTTGTGGCTCCCTACAGTTTCCCCATGATAACGGGGATTTTTTTGGGGGGTTCTCAGGATCTTTGGGGGAGAACTGGACATCTTTTATTTCTGAAAAAAGCCATGGCTAAAGCCACCATCAAATTTACACAGTATAAAATATGGAACGGGAGAGGGCCTTCTCTGTGGCTGCTCCCAGACTCTGGAACTCCCTCCCACGGGAGCCCAGGCTGGCCCCATCTTTGCTGTCCTTCTGCAAGAAAGTGAAGACCTTTTTCTTCAGACAGGCTTTCCCTCACTTACTGGCTGACTAAACAGGGGCTTTTAATGGATGGTTGTGCCTTCCTGCTTTGAATGTGTTTTGGTGTTGCTTTTGCTTACCATTTCTTAGAGCTGTATTTGTTTGATCCTTTTTAGTATTTGTATACTTCCTGTTTTAGCTTTAAATGTTGTCTTTTAAGGATGCGAGCCACCTTGGGTCCTTTTAAGTAAGAAAGGTGGGGTAAAAATATTTTTAAATAAATATTTTAAATAAATTAATAAAATGCTGATCTGGGTAGAGAAAGAATTTGTGCCAATCAACACATAACAATTACTGTCTTCCATTCCTTCAGCATAGAGGAGCAAGGCTGCTGAAAAGCCTTGAGTTGTTCAGGACCATCATGGTGACCCCTCTGCCATAGGAGATAAGGGGTCTCTCCAGAGTATGTCTTGTGTGTTTCCTTTTGTTATATTGTATCATGCTGAATTCCTATTGGCCATCTTTCTGTCTTTATCAGGGCTCAAAAAAGAATGGAAGTTCATTAGGGTTCTGGCTGGTCCAACACCACAAATTAGCACGCAGGTTTAGGTTTTTGAATTGGTTACATAAACTGATCTCAATATCACCACCCTTTTTTCTGGACTAGAAGAGACAGAGAAGCGGCAAAATGAGAGTTGGAGCTTGTAGGACCAAGGACAGGTCTAAGGTAAGAGCCCTAGCCAGGTGTTTTAAAAGCATGCATATGCCATATACAATGAAAGCAGTGGTCAGCTCCAACCCTCTGTCATCACTTTTCTCACAGAAAATTACTGCCTGAAGAAGAGACCGTGTTGTATCCATGGAGGCTTTACCTGCCAGTCATACCTCCTGCTTTCCCCATGTTCTGGCATCAGCGTAGGCCTCCACAGATACAGCCAAATATGTTCTTCAGGTCATCCCATATGGTCTCTTCTGTCCTGGAAATGTCTACATGTCTGTCGCAGGGAAATCAGGATTTTCAGAACCGGCACACTCAAACTGAGCCCTGTACTGGTTTCAGGGGCTCTAGGAATGGCTCAGCTTGCCTGAGTCCTTCATCTTCACCCTTAACTGCCTTGGTTTCCTACAGAAAGGCCATTGTATGCATGCTGCTTTTTAAATCCGATGTAGATGGTTCCATCAACTGTAGCCTGTTGCTATGAATCCTCTTGCTGAGTGCCACTTTCCATGTCATGCTAAGGAGATGTGATGCCAGCAACCTTTGGGTCTGCCCTCTTCCTGCTTCCTCCCTGCTCTGAATCTAGCAGGGCTGGTGTCTCAAGTCATGCTGGGAGGGGAGGGGAGCTCAGAATGGGGCCAGGAAGTCTGGCTGTCTCTAGCCTTTGGTATGAACTTGGCTCAGATGTTCCTGCTCTCTAGGCCAATTCTGATCTCCTCACCAGATGTCACTCAGCAGGGGCAGGGACCGAGGAAACTGGGGATGCCGGGAGGCAAGCGAAGAGAAGGTATACTTCCCCCCCCAACTCTAACTTGGCACCAGAGTTTGCAAAATCAGCCATCATAGGTTTTCCTTTTTAAAATCTAGGGTTATGGGGAGTTCTCTGTGCATTTCCAGTCTGCTCCATTTGGTTTCTGTGCATTTGCAATGGGTCTTGCATGCTTGATTGCTTTTCTCTCCCTCCCCCCCCCCTTCGGCTGGAAGGGATTAATCGTGTTTCCAATGAGTCTTGCAGTGATTTTTTTTTTGTTTTTGTGATTTTTTTTTTCCTTTGGCC